CCTTTTGCCTTCTTGTTTACAAACACACTAAATCTCCCATGAAGATTAGAATATTTCTTACATTTTAGTGTTTGCTGAGTTTTTACATGCTAGAAACTGCTGCAACACTGAAAAAAATCAACTGACTGGTCAGTACAAGGATTAAAAGGATATTGGTGCTGAGGAAAGAACAGCAGCCAAGCGCAACGCTGAAGAAAACAGCATGAAGCTTCTTTCTGGCAGTGAAACTGCAGAGCCCAGGCTTCTGCCAAGCAGAATCAACTGTCGCTACACTGTACAACAGTTACTTGCCTACTGTGATCTTACACAATCGGTCAAAAAGTTATTTATCATTAATGTTATTTTTCATTTTTTTTTACCATTATTCTTCCTGGCTTCGTCTCAAGTTTTTTCTTGTTTTCAGCCTAGTCAACGCAAAGAGAAACAGCAGAATGTTTCCCATCAGTTTGCTGTTTTCCACACCAAGTGAACACTTCGGCAGGGCTGTCCTGCCAACCCTGCCTCCCAGCCTGCTGGTTGCTTTGGCTCTTCTCTTCCAGACCTGCGTAAAGGGAAGCGCCTGGAGCAGCCCGAGTCCTTCGGCAGGGGCCCTCTCAAGGCTACCCAAGGTGGAAGGATTATTTCAGGTGTGTCCTGACATTCTGTTTATATCGTGAGAACCCAGAACTTGGCGAGCTCTTGTTCCCTGGCCCCCTGAATAATCATATAATCTCACTGAGAAAATGTCTTAGGTTCCCAGTATCTCCACATTGGCTGTTACAGTAACCATGAATTTTCCCATTATAATTATGAAAACTGCTGTTCCTCCCATTTTTTATCTTGTCTTATCTCTCTGGCAAAGAGAGACATTTCTTGTGGTGAAAATATGTATTTTATCTCTTTCTAATGCAGTCCATGAGCCACAGTCTGAGACCACCAGGTACAAAAATATTCTGATTCCATAAAGAGAGGGAGTGGGAACCATGCACTGTGCCTTCTCAGTCCTATTTTTTTAAGGATTCAACAACAACAAACACAGGAATCAATAACAAACAGAGGAACATTAAATGCACAGAGTAATAAACAGATACATCAGTCTAAAAGATTTTCTTTATTTTTCTCGAGTGAAACTCAATCTTCAATAATTTGCAAAGAAAATGAGAGTACAAAAATGCTCCTTTTATTCTGTTTTGAAACCCTACTTAGATTATTCATAGCTCCAAATAAAACTAAGCCTGTGTTTTGAAACACTATTTCTGCACACAAATGATATAGCTCATTCTTTTCATAAGGCATGTTAAATAGATTTTAATTCAAATGTTAAAACATTTTATACTGCTGTGTCAGAATTAAAAACACTACTGCAAGGTTCACAAAAACTATGCATGATCTGCAGAACATAATCACCGTTACAGTGTAGCCACTCACAGACATGCACTTGTGAATATATATGTATACGAGCATACTAGGAAGATCAAAAAAATCTGTTTTGTATGTGACCTTAGTCACGTAGATAACAAAATGTATGTTTAACCCAGTACTTATATATTGCTTACACAATAACTGTACTTTCCTCCTTTTTCAGTGAATGATCATTTTTGCTGCGCAGTAAAATTGTGTCCTCCAATCAACTGCATACAGTAATGCTGAAATCATGACATACATGAAGCAAGTGTAAGGGACAAAATCCAGGGATAGCAGAGGTTTAGAATTCCAAGGAGTTACAGGAGATGATGAATTTATCTACTGATAATTTTATCTAAAGGCTAATTTGTATCCAAATGCAAATTGTAATTTTAAAATTTAATTTAGTGATTCTATTTCTCATACATCAGAAGAAAATGAACTTCATGTGTATAAACGTATCAGATGAAAGTCCTATCTGTATGTTGCATTGAAATTGCGGAATCATAATAAGAGAAGTTTATTCTTACTTAAAATCTGAACTAAAGTAAATCATAAAAGCTCACCCAAGCTCCATGTATTGCCCACAGAAAGAATGTTGTTTCAGGGTAGCTTTACAAATCTTCCTGTGCAGCCAAAGGACGCGGAACAAATTAAGTGGCACATTACCTTGTGTGGAAAGATTACATTTCAAAAATCCTGACATGTAATAAGCCAAAGATTTCAGCACGTCTTTTATCTAAAAGAATATGTCTCCTGACATTTGCATTAGTTGCTGCACCTGGGCCATTTATATTTTAAAGCTCTTAGCTGAAGAACAGACCCTGTAGATAAGGGTCATCGCTCCTGCAAAGGTCCCTCGGAGTGAAGATGCCCAGATGACTCTTTGAGCTTGCTTCCTTCATTAAAACCAGAACAGGAAACTATTTTTAGCAATTTTAATTAGTCCTAAGCAGTATAGACTAGCCTCTGTTACCCTTAATTATACCGAGTGGTATATTATTTCATAAAAATACTGAGTGTTTCTACTGCTGGTTGCCTCTAGTGGAAGCAGAGGTAAGGAAACCACAAATATAACCCCATGTAAGCAGAGGCAGAACACAGTCTTAGATCTGCTGAGGTCATTGGGAACTCATTCTTGAAGAGCTAACAAGCTATCAAAAACATAATGTAAGGCCTTTTCAATTACCTCTTAACAAATAGGAACAGTGATATCTTACATGGAAAGAGTTTAAACGGTTGCTTGTATGGTTCACAACACAAGTTAGATCTGTCTTTGAATGCCTTAAAGTTACCGCTCGGGATGTAAACAGGTTCCCAAGATCTTGAGCTTGGTCCAACAAGTGACATCGAGCGGAGAGGTGTCTCTCTCTCGACCAGGGCAGGCAACTTCCATGACCCCAGAACTGCCATCCTGATGAGGGATGTGGCCAGCATGCCCAAGCCCCGTGGTAGTGTGCAGATAATTAACACGCTCAGGCCATCCCCTGCTCTCCATCCTGCCACCTCTCACTCTTGAAATACAGGATTCCCTGCTGCCCAACTCCCTGCTGACCGTGGACATGCAGTGAGGGCTCTTTCTCATTCCTTTCTACAAGGCAGCTCTGCAGTCTTCCTCCTGCTGTCTGAGCCAAGGCACCGGATACACATCACGTTCAGCCCATCACTAAATAATTTCTTAGCTAGTGAAAAATCTCGTTGCTCAAACTCCCTTGTCTTTGAGTTTCTTCACCAAACTTCATATGCATCTGTGGAACAGCTTCTTAAGTAATGGCAAGCAATGAAATTCCCCTTTTTCCTTCTCTGAAAATCCCCCGTGCCTTACACAAACCAGCGTCACTGATTGCTTTCCACAGCTTTTCTGTATCATAATGTTTTATACTGTACTGTCGCTGTCAGTAAGTCCTGTGCAAGTTTGGTGAAATGGTGCACAAATAATGCAAAATGCTGAACGTGTGCTTCAATTTGATTCGTGCATGGGCAAAACCAGTGGCTCTCCATTTCTAAATTCATATTGCTGAGCTGCTACAGCTACTGTTTACTGTTAGAGTGAGCCAAGTCCCTTCCTGTCCTCTCTTGCAAACAAGCTGGCAGAGAGCCACAAGCTGGGAAGGCTAAATGCAGACAGCATGTTTTACCTGTACAACATTGTTTTCAGCATTTTCTAGTTCTTCTATGCACAAGATGACATAACAGGTCACACTGAACTGAAAAGAGCTTAGCACAGGGTCTTTCCTTCTTTAGAACATCTACAAATAAAGATTTGTTAAAAATACAAATCCTAATGTATGCAAAAATCTCTAACTGCCTCTGGATTTGGCTTTGTCTTTGTGTCGGAATAATAGAAAAAAAATATTTACCTAAACAATTCCCAACATCATAAATTGTTGTACTCCAAGGAGAGTATTAGGTACTCATACAGCAAGTCATTAAAATAATCCTAATATGGAATGAATTAAGATTCACTTCCACAGTTCTATTTATTTTTATATGCCTAAATGTAAAAAAGGCTTCTTGCACAGCATATTCAGATGTTCTTCTCAATCCCATTTGTTATGAACAATTTCTGAGTAGTTATTTTAAATGATCCTCAAAAGATGCTCTATGTGTTTGGTGGAGGAGGCAAATAAATTTACCTCTTTAAATTTTATAAAAGTATAAGTTTACAGAGAATATATGTTATTACCTTTATACTAAGAAGTAATATGTTAAATTCATTGGTGGACTTTACAACACTGAACAATCACATTCCTTTTAGCTGTATATTTATGAAAAACAGAGTGCTATGATACAGGGTGCATACAATGCAATTAAATACATGTTCTGCACCTCAAATCAACTCTGTCTAATCAAATTAATTTTTGGAGTTATCATGAGTGGAATATTGTTTTCAGAAGTATGGCTATTGTCATACAGAGTGAGTGATCACTATTTTCCAGAGTCAGCCTAGTGAAGAGAGTTTGGGTCTCCAAATAATTAAAGGAGTCTGTCTTGAAAAGAGAGTAGCCAGAACTTTACTGGCAAGCTAATACTGTGAACATCAAGTCAGGCTGGAAAATAAAAGTTATTGTTTTTAAGACACAATTCTATCAACATAAAAATAAATTAAAACTAAATATTTAAAAGATTACTATATAAAAGGTTAGAGCATGACGTAACTGTATATAACTGAAATATATAGCTTAAAAGAGCTATATTGGAAGCCATCCTAGTGTCTTTTTTTTGAGATATGTGGTTTTGAGTTTTACAGAAGTGAATTCTCAAATTAACTCTGTAGATTTGCGCGTATTTGCTTCAAACTCCTTATGACTAAAAATACTGATTAATTTTTTCTTTTCCTGCCTGAAATTAAGAATTCATATACCGCTCATCCTAATGGCAGTGCAGAACAAGACATCTACACGTAGATAACATAGCACTTTGTAAAAGCAAATGGCACGAATTTTGGCATACGTCCGTGTAGCGGCCCTTCCTCAGACAAGTGACACGGGGACGTCGTGCGGTGCTTGCAGCTGGTTCCTGCAGGACGTGTTTCTGAAGGCACTCGGCGGTGGCTGCCTGCTGGCTTCGACACAGAGCGTCTTGCAATCTTCACAGGCTACCTGGCTGAGTTAAAGTGCAGCGAAGTGTTGGTAGGTCCATCCTCACTTTCACTTTGCGTCCTTAGTTGACGCAATTCTTTGCTAACCTTCTGTCGCTTTGTCTGATGCTCTTTGCGACGTTAATGGTGACTTCTTTTGTGGGCATTTTCTTTGTGTCCCGCTTGCTCTGTGGAAGTGTTGAACAGTACAATGAGTCCCACACTGACAGGACAAAGAGTCATCACAAGAATTTGTGGAAACAGCTCTAGTTAATAAACACAAAGACCTGACAGCCTTCACACACCACTACAATGTGGAGCAACCGCAGCATTGAGCATGGAGGTAAGCTTCTAGGAGTACCTTCAAGGTTATGGATATGAGCATGCTTTGGATCAACACGTTGGGCTATAAATAAGCATTTTTTGCATGTGTCTTTCAAAAGCAAAGCAAAAAAGAAAAACTGCTTTCAGCTCAGAAATGGTTTCCTTTGACATCATTAGGAATTGAGTGCGACTACCCTGGAACGGAATTTTCTCTGCTTTCTTATGGTTTCTGAAATGAAAATACAGTTTCAAAACAGCATTTAATTCTGCTTGCATGCAAGACTTGAGCACAGTATAAACCTTCCAGATTTCCATCAAATAATTTCCAATATTCAAAATAGTTTCTTCAAGGTGAGAAAGCACATCCTTAATTTAAATTTATCCTTCTTCGTATCCTAGTGTGTCTGCTTGTTGTTATAACTAACACATTAGAATATGCAATAAATTGGATAGGCCCATCAGAGTACACTTGTAATGTAACAACTTGTAATTGGGCTGATATAAACACAGAGTCGGGTTAAGTGTTCTTGATCATTGCATCTCAAATGTTCATGAGACTATTTGTAAATGTAAATAATGCCAAGTAAATTAGGAATAATTTACCTGATAAATAACTCCATGTAAACATTCACTGACTTCAGTGAAAGCTCCAGTTATTTATCTGGAGGCAAAAATTGGGAATCACGTTTACCAGGATGTATTTCTTCTCATTTCTGCAAGCTGAATTATATCTTCTCCCTTACTAACTCATCCCCCAGCATTTTTACCCACTCAGTGCTTCTCTAAAGACTATCTACATGATGAAATTCAAACTAGGCTACTGTCATGCATTGCAGTAAATAAGCTGGATACCACCTTTGTTCTTTACTATTACCATGCCTTCACTGTTGTTAGTTTTCATCAGCGACCTCTTTTGCATCAAGTCCTTCTCCCATTACCCTCATGAGAGGATACTAGGTGCAGCCTTGTGTCAAACCCTTTCCCATCCAACAACACAGATCATACCCAATGTTATGGTAAAGAAGTAGAATCCTCCAGAGCTTGAGCTCTGAGAAAATGAGATACAGAGAGGTAAAGCAATTTACCCCAAACTACCATGCAGGCTGATGGCAGAAGCCAAGTATGCTGAGTGCCGTGTGTATTATCCTGCATGGTAGGATAAAATCGGCATCTAGAGATAAAAGATAAATCATAGCCAATGTGAATATCCAGAAGAATAAAACACTCACATTTTGAGTTGTGGAGGGACAGTCACATTCTCCTCTCTAGCCACCTAAACTGTAGTTGCCCAAACTAAAAATCTATTCATCTTACACTTCCTTAAATCACGGAATCACAGAATCATGGACTCATTAAGGTTGGAAGGGCCCGTTGGAGATCACCTAGTCCAACCTCCCTGCACATGCAGGGCAGGGCACCTAGAGCACGTGGCACAGGGTGACATCCAGACGGGTTTGAAGATCTCCAGAGAAGGAGACTCCACAACCTCTCTGGGCAGCCTGTGCCAGGGCTCTGGCACCCTCACTGACAGGAAATTTTTCCTTAAGTTCCTGTGGAGAAACAGAGATTCAGAATGGTAAATCAAAGCTTGAACCTGACTTACTTAAAATACTACAACTTGCCTACTGTAGGAACCAATGTTTCTTTTGTAAGTATAATAAAGTTAGACAAAATACCCTCCTTTCTTAGACATCTGCATTTAGATGCACAGAATAATCAAAATATCCTGCTTAGCATCAGAAATTTTCTCTGAACATATGGCTGTAACAGTATAAATATATGATGGAATGTGTCTTAGATAGAAGACTGAAGGATCAACCAAAGCCACAGGACCACATCAGTAACCAGCCTGGGGTAACTCACTGGGTAGTACCACTCTGGACAACATTCTCTCAGGGGAGGAATTTGCCCTTATTTCCTAGTAAGTCTAAATGTAGAAGCAAATCTTCAATCAATTACAATTTTTTTAAAAAAAATTATTTCTTCAACAGTATGTCAGATATACAATACAATTCTCAATGTGGTCAGGTCTCTTACAAATTAGATTAATAATTACATTAATTCTGTTCTATCATGCTTAATATGACCAATTATTTTTTCTCTGTGGGCTAATGATTACAACAGGCATTTATATTTTCATTTATAGCAAACCACCTGTGGCTCTAGATGTCATGTAGATGCAGAATGTGGAGTGGTACTTCTGGAGCTGCAATATCTAGTGGAAAGATACAGCATAATCTATGTCACTGGGGAATATTTCCAAACTTCAGGATTAATGGAGGGAAGATATTATACAATAACAGTTTAAAATAAGTGCACAGGGACCAAGAGGGGACACACAATTTATGGTGTTGTTGTAGGTGTTCCTGTCCCCACTATCCATGACACTCAACTTTGGGAGGTTTTTACCACTTGAGGAACTGAGGAAGCAGTAAAACAGCTATGATTTTTGGATAACTTTAATCTGCAGCAGTTGAGCAGTTGCTACATGAACTATACAGCAGTGGAAAACTGTGAGAAATACGCAGGGTAGGCAGCTAGGATCTTGCACCAAAGCCTTTTGTTTTCATACACTATTGTTATGTTGGATGATTCTTCTGCAAAATACTAAGTAGACAAGGGGAAAGAGGACTGAGGATCTGATCCAGGCCTAAAAAGACTCCCACTGACTTCTTAGGCTTTGCATCCAGCCCTGAATGAACCTGGGTTTATGCAATGAATACAATTAAAACAAAGCAGTAATTAAGGAGAAATACAATCCCTTTCAGATTATTCACCAAAATGTCATGCACAAGCTGTGACATAGCTTGATTAAGTTGAAAAAGAGAAAGTGTAGGGTTTTTTTGTTTTGTTTTCTGTAACAGGCATGCGAGTTGCTCCAACTGCAGAATGAAATGCCAATTTTATGGCCACTCAGGCTTGTCAGAGGCGCTGGGCTTGATCGGGCTCTGCCTGTGCTGCAGCTACTCTATCTATCCCAAAGTGTTTAATAGACTGCTGAGAGGAATATGGTCACGAAAGTCATCTTGACCCGCTCGAAGCTGGTCCTGAGCATCCCGGAGCGCCGCTGCGGCCCTACCTCTGCCGTCCGGAAGCTGCTGGGCCTCGGTGCCGCGGCCGGCGCGGCGGGCGGCGCGGCGCTGGCCCTCTGAGAGCCACCGCTGGCCTTTTTCTCTGTGCTCAGAATTCCAGTTGTGGCTGATGCTGTAGTTACACCCGTCTGAGTGGATTTTCCATCTTCTAAGATACCTAGTCAGGACAAATGAAATTATGTTATTAATACTACATAGCAGCTTGGCTACTGTGGCTATCCTCCCCATTTTATCACTTTTTTTGCAATAATGCAGGTCATAAAAATGCTTTATGGTGCTACAGTGACAGCATTCTACCTCTTGTTGTAAACTAAGGACTCAGGGCAGGCACAAAAAGGGGCTTCCTTAAATCTGCCTCAATTATGCAAAATGTAGGGCTCAGATCCGAGGTGAGACCATTGTGGACAGAGAGGGGGCTTGCTTTATGGACACAAATGTTTTTTAAAAGCTGAAGAAAGAATTCAGAAAAAAAATAGGTTTTATACTATTTGTCTATCAATAACCAAAAAAAGTAATTAATTAGTATTTTCTTTCAGCTCTAGAAGCATGGATAAGGCATGTGCAGTACATTATGGTATTGGTCAGCCTAAAAGAATATACTCATCTTATTACACTGGTAAAAATGAGTTATCATTAATGGCAAGCCCTGAACATTCAACTTCTGGTGGCAAAACCCGATCTGAAATCCAAATATGGATGGATGGTGGCTGCATTATCACAGCTCTCAATTTTTTTTTAAGCAAAGCTCATTTATAAAGAGTATTATGTTCTATATAAAAAAAGAAAACCGGTAACAAACAGCAACAAACAGGCAATGCAAGCATCAAAACAGCAAGAAGCAAGTATGCAGAAGGGAAAAATAAACATGAGGAAGAACAATGAAAATTTACTGTTATTGCAATCACCAGATAAAATTACAGCGTCAAAATCCCTCACCACGAGACGGGTGGCAAATCAAGCACGGTATTACAAATACTAAAGATGAAACAGATTAAGTGCTGAATTTTGTTCCAGGAACCCACAGGAAAATTGCTTTATCAATAGAAACACCAATAGCAGCTCACTAATGACCATAACTTAAAGAAATGAGCTAATTGGAATAGCAGTAGGCAGACTTGTCAAAATAGCTGTTCCAGCTGGAATAAGAGGAATCCACCAGATGTTTAGGGTCTTGTTACTGAAAATGTGCAAGATTGTGTAAGCTTTTAAAAGTCTTTAAAGGTCTTTGTTTGCATTATTTTTAAAGTTAGTGAATTGTATTTCTACAATTTTGTCACTGCATTTCCCTAAGCAAAAGATGTGTTACAGTTTAAAAAAAAAGTGTTATAGTTTTCATGAGCCAGTTGATCTGGTAGTTGCTGATCACCAAAACCAATACAAAAATATCTACTTCTTGATAGAAAAAAAAAAGAAAAAAAAATGAAACTTTAAAATATTAAGCAATATTATACATTTAAAAAAAAAAACACTAAAAAGTACCTCAGTCTTTGGAAGCTACCTTTTCATGCTAGGTAATAAAACTCATGTTCTCATTCCTAAATCTATAGGTAACTCCCTGTAAAGCAACAGTAAACCTCAACTCTCCTGCATGTCCAGAAAGCCCATACCTACTCATACTGCAGGTGCTCTACATTCCTACCACATTACAGAACAAGACGATGAGAGGCAGAGAAGTGACCTGGTGCAGAACCATAAATTTTATAGACCGATCTCATGCACAAAATGGATTTTCAGGAAGGGAGATGGAAAGGTAACTAGTCAGGAGCAATAACTCTAAACCTAGTACGCAGTCACAGCACAGTCTGCTTATTCACCTTGCAGTGCAGCTGGGTGAGCAAGTTTGAGAAATGCTTTGAACAGGCAAAATGCTCCAGGCATTAAATACTAATTCCATTAATTGAATTGCAAACATTTTAAACATATATGAATGATGAGATTTGCCTTCTGTGGAGTCATCCTCCTAAATTACTTCCCACCATGTGCCCCTATGGCCATCTGGCCTGCAGCTGAGCAGTCTTGTGAAACAGCTGAAGAGCAGCTTTGTTATAAAGCACAATTGCTCATTTATCAGGCGATTGTGTTGCTCTTACAGTCTCTCACAGAACAATTTTCTTTACATCAATACATTTCCAAAAGCTGATGGAAGATCTCATCCAGAAAATTGTATATTTGGTCCAGTTTTTGACCTGTGTTAGTTTGCAGCTTGACCATTTTTTGCAGGAATGAGACTTTTTCCCCCTTGTCAGAAATGAGGCAGACAGCAGCCCGTGAGCCTATCAGTATCACTCCTAGTATAACTCCTAGTATATCTACAGGTGATTTAGTGATCACCAACAGTAGGGTATCTTAGCAGTGTAAAAAGCTTTGTTATTTTATTCGGTCATTATCGTGTTTGCCACTTGGAAGTTAAGAACATCAAGGATAAAGACAATATTAAAGAAAACATCACAAACAGATTTGTCCCTTTTTAGATGGCAAATATTTTGCTGTTAGAGTTTGCCATAGTACATAAAAACAGAACAGTTAATTTTCCTCTGTGCAAGCTACCAGGAGGGTAATCCTCACATTATTACCTCCTGTCATTTAAACCAAGCTATCTTTCTAGGTATGCGCAGCATCCTCACAGCAAGGGTTTGGTATCCTCCTATCTTCCCCTGTCCAAATTTGTAGAGAGCTTCAGCAGAAATTTAAAGAAATGCCTGCAGTGATGCTTTCCTCCTCGCTTGCCTGCTCTCTGCTAGGACAAGCCCCTGCCAAAATCTGTGGGCCTCCTGAGGCCAGGAAAAAGTAGCTCCCACCACACTGCTCTGCCAAATTTATGTGTTTTATTTCTAAATGAACCTCCATGCCTAGAATTTTCCTGCAGCTCTAGTCCCATATGCAAACTTCTGAGTGATTATCCAGCCTTCCCCAACGTAATGTGCCCGGGTTTTTGGTGATTCAGGGCTTGCCCCCATCTTCCCACTACGGGCAGAACCGGATGGTAAGCAGCAGGCATCTCTCTGCATGGAATCGGGTTTATTTAAGAAGAAGGTGCACGAAGTCTTTCAATGGATACAGGAGGAAGAGGCAACAGCAAGTAGAAATCCAAGATGATCTTTCCAGTGAGAATTGAGCAAAATAATCTGTTCTTGGCTGCTCCTGCTCCCAGCTCTGCAGGCTGCACCAGCAGCTGCGACTCTTGCCTCTCCTACTAGTGCAACACCAATCCTTTAGGTTGCTGTTTGACAAACGTCTCTTTCAGCAGAGAGAAAGAGAGAAAGAGGAAGCAAGAAGGAAGGGAGGAAGGTTTATTTTTGATTCAGACCAATCCCTCAACTTCATTCATCATCCATTGATGCAAGGAGCTCTACTGGCACAACTCAGAAGGTAGACAAGAATGGAAACAAGCAGCTCGGGTTGGTGCAACTACCAAAAAAATCAAAACAAAATAAAAAACCCAAACCCACTCATGCAGCTTCACTTTCTTCTCACCAAGAAAATGCCTGCTGAGCTATCTAAACCATTCACTGCTTCCAACTACCCTTTATCAGGGGACATTTGTTTCATCCTTGGAGCCTAGAGCCACCAAAGATTTTAGGAGTAGAAATAATGTCCAAAAAAATGGCTAAAGAAATTTCTGGTGCAGACTACAGAGTGATGTGTCTGACTAATTACAAAGACACCTATATAAAGTTTTTTTTTTCTCTAAAGCTTCTTTCACTAAGATATCTAAGGATTTGGTCTCGAACTTTCATATTGTGTATTTTCAAATTCAAAACCAGAATAGTTTCAATTTTCAAATTCAAAACCAGAAAAAAAAGCAGCACAGATTTGCCCAATCTTTCTGCTAAAAAGATGGCATGAAATTACTATCTTTTGTTCAAATTTTCCAAAGTATGAAAGTTTGGAAAATGGAATACAGACAATATACAAAAATATACAAAAATATACAAAAATAAATTCTGCTTATTAAATTTTAGAAATCAAAGCTAAATCTAGGATACCTGGATATGCTTCATCTGTTCCACAGTTGAAAGGGATATTTCAGGAAAGATTTAGAATTGTATTAAAACATAATTAAAGGAAAGTTGCGTAAAATGAAAGTTATCTCAATACAAGCATGAAACCTAGCAAGGAAGAAACCTGGCAAGATTTAACCAATCTGTCTGGAAATACATATAGCATGTGAAGAAAGGTATGCTAAAGGCAATATAAACTCCACAAAGTGAACAGAACATGACAATTCTGACTATTAGCACAAAAATAAAGTGATTGGTATTTTTAAATTGCTCACAAAAAACCCCAGTAATATTAGCTCTCCAAGAACTGCAGCTACCATAACGTTGAATACTTAACTCCCAGTAGGACACCAAGTTTTTCCAGTCTTTCTGGGATAGCCTCCTACTCTCTTCACTGTAGCCCTAATGAAAAAGCCAGCGTGTTCAAGCAAACATCAAAATTTGATTTTATCAGGAAGATTCTGAACATTTCAATGATCCTCTTAATTCTATTCCTGCTCTAAAACTGCCTTCATTAATTAGCCATAGTTACTACTGACAAGATTGTTTGTCAGGATCATCAAGTCTGTATTACAGATTATAAAACAGTACATTAATCACTGCTAGTTAATCACCCTTAACAACAGGATAGAGAGCTTTTCATAACCAATTCTTAAGTTAACAATACTGATTAAAGACACATTTCATTTCTCAAGTGACACTTGAGAAGGCCATGTTAGTTCACCAATGTTTTCAGCGGGAAATCCAAACACGATGCTCCTCCTCTTTGCTGGATGTACCAAAGAGCTGTTCTAACTTCTTCCCAATTTCTCCCTTTCGATCTCACTGCTCTAAGGGGAATACTCACCAAATCTCATCCCCCATCGCGTTCTCTGAGGCCTCTTTGGTCTGTAACTCTAAGTTTTTAAAAGTTGAATGAGTTTTCAGAAATTCCCAGGCAGCAGCATGCCAGAAATGTGATCAGTATCAAGAGATTTGGAAGGAGTTAACAAAGGTTAAGTTAATCTTAATAATCAGTTAACAATAAGTTAACCGTAATAATCAGGCTTTTGTGGAGAAAATTATTCCACTTGTGCTTGTCACTACATTTTCACACCTGATATTAAAGCATCAGAAGTGGCCAAAACTGGCCATGAATTCTGACCCACATAGTCTA